ATGCGAGTTTCGTTTATATGCCCAAGGCGACAATGCCAGAGATAGGTTAAATTTGAACTATTCGATTTGACCTCCCGTTTATCTATGTTATAAATCGGATTATCCATATTAAGAACATAAAGACCATTAATCAAACGTGCATCACCATAATATATATTACCAAAAGAGAATGAACAACATTTGTTCCCAATATTAAAGTTAAAACCTTTCCTGTCTAAACAAGATACAGAAATCAAATTTCTAAAAATAGATGGTACGCAATAACAGTCATCGAGTTCTAATATTAATCCGGTCGGTAAAGTTAACAAAATAGATCCTACGGCTATAGCACCAACCTTTTCCCCATTTCCAACGTGTAGATCAACTTCACATTTGCTCAACCTTCTAGTCCTTTTTAGTTCCTGCATGTTTCGACAAATGTGAAAACCACATCCGGTATCTAATACCCATGATGTATAAGAAGTAGAAAGATTAGCTTCTATCACATAGATACCTGAAGTGGATGTTACATTTCCTTTCTTCTTTTACTGAAGGTAGAGAGGACAATTCCTCTTCCAATGCCCGGGTTTGTTGCAGTGAAAGCACTCACCCTCCTTAGGTACAGTTACCTTGGATTTCTTAATGCCTTCTTTTGGCTTCAAAGATTTAGAAGTGGGTTTGGCAATGGACTTTACTTTGCCTTTCCTTTTCTTATCCTTACGAACCATCAAAATGGTGGATTTGTTCTTTGCAAGTTCTTGCTCGGCAGTTCGTAACATGTTGAGCAATTCTGGAAGGGTTTTGTCAAAGTCATGCATGTTGTAGTTCATCAAAAATTGACTGTGGCTATTTGGCAACGATTGTAAAACTACATCAATGGCTAACTCCTTTCGTAAAGAGAAACCTAGTCCTTCAAGGCGTTGAATATGCCCAATCATTTTAAGCATATGAGTGCCAACAGGACTACCTTCAGACATTATACAACAAAACAATTCCTTGTATGTTTCATACCTCTCATGTCTAGCTTGCTCTTGGAATAGAAATTTTAGGTGTTCGATCATATCGAACGCCCCCATGTTTTCATGTTGTTTCTGAAGATCAGGTTTCATGGTTATTAACATTAGACATGAGACGTCCAAAGCATCCTCATCATGTTTTTTGAAAGTGTCCCTTTCAGTTCTCGGAGCACTGGAATTAGGCTCTTTAGGGATTTGTTGCTCCAAGACATACAGTTTCTTTTCAGCTTTGAGGACAATTCTCAAATTACGATACCAATCGATGAAATTTGTTCCGTTAAGTTTTTCTTTCTCAAGAATCGATCGTAAAGTGTTTTTGTTTCCGTTGTTGGTTTGTGCCATTGGTAATCTATAATAGAAAAGTAGAGTTCTTAGTGTCATGAAATTATTATTGTTTAATAAGGACTTTCATCAAACAAGCTCCCACTATTTTAATCAAAACAACAACCCTCTTTTATTGTTTCAGAAAACGTCACAAGCTTTCTAGCGGGCCAAGATCCATATTTTCATTATCAATCAATTTAGCTTTAGCTAACCGATCAACCAATAATGTTTTAGGTAATCAACAACATTGCTAATTACATCTCTATGTAACTTTTGGATAGTTGAGTAAACAACTTTTATTTAAGTTCATCGTATGAATGTTCCCAACTCATGCCTCCAAATCCCTAATCCTATTCGTTTTAATTTAGTTAAGTCTGACCCAAATATGGCTTGTAGGAATCCTATGCTTACATTACCTTACTAATATTAAAGAGAGTATTCAACTTAGCATGACCCACTCTCGATGATCAAAGTCTTGATAAGTGCCATGTTTGGAAGGCATCTTAAACTTAATATTTTGGCGAGGGATTTTAGTTAGTTTGAATATACCATTCTTTCTTTTGTGATAGATCATTTCCTCATCGCTTGATTCAACCGGAATCCAGATTGGAGGTGGATCACAAGGATCACTTGAATACCTTCCTTTCTTAGGCAGTTTAGACCTTTGTGACAAAACCGGTTGAAATCTTGCATGATGTACTAAGACCTTATCACTCGAGATCGACGGTCCATTTTATATCTTATATAAAACCATTTTCCTTTTTACTTTTATCAAAACTCATTTTGATTTGTAAAACTCATTTTGATTTGTAAAACTCTTTTTACTTAAACATTTTAATAACATATTTTGTTTTAAAAGATTGTAACGAGTATCACATACAAACAACCATGCATAATATATCACATACAAACAACCACGCATAATATATCACAATATATAAAGCGTAAAAAAATGTGAGATGGTTATAGCCCCCTTATGCGATATTCATAGAGCCAAGTATGAATATCATTACATAAAATAAACTTCTATGACTCTAAGTGTTCTTATCTTCGTCACTTCATAATGCCTCTATCTCTTGCTTTTTTTCATACAAGATACTTTACATTTCAATCAAAGAAACCTCGAGTTATATTCGAGGGGATTAGATGAGAGGAGAATGTATAAGAGAGTATATAGAGAATAGCACGACGTGCAAGTCGTATTTATCAAATATAATACATCCAAAACTAAGAGCTATAACCATTCACCAAACAAATCACCTTATACATATTCAATCATATTGAAACATAAAATCGATTTGCAACACCACTGTATAAATAATACAAAATTCATACAACATTGAAAAAAGGGGATTCAAAAGTTCTTTGAAAAACTAACAAAAAGATCTACATCTTTTATGTTTTAAGATTTTAAAGATCTAGAACCCTTATGGGCCGAAAACCAAGTCAAACCCGTAGTGGGTTCGATTTTCGAACAGCATTGCGATACTGTCATAAACAATTCATAAAAAATTCATACGAAGTCGAAATGATGCGATTCAAAAAACTGTGGAAAGCTGATAGAAATATCTAGGTTTTTCATGTTTAAAGATTTCCGAGATTCAGAACATTTCTGAGACGAAAAAACCAAAACATTTACGAAACAAAAACATACAGCAGTAACAACAGTTTTTAAATATAGCATGTATGTCACAAAAAATCGATCTAGAAGTTCGTAAGTAGCTCTGATGCCATTGTTGGGTTACAAGATCTCAAACACAGCGGAAAATAAAACCGTAACCCTCCAAGGACCCATACGAACCGAAATAAATCGGGTGTTTTGAAATTAAACCTCACAGTTAGCGAAACATTGAATCACAGCAACAAACAAAGCTTGATGCCTCCACGGTATTCACGCGAACAATCCGAATTATTTGTCTTCTCGTGATGCTAGTCACGGTTTCAAAACTTAGAAAGAAAAGAGAGCATATTATTGTAGGTGGTTTTTAAGAGAGAAAATTGCAAGACCAAAAAACTCACTAGCATAAAAAATGTCATACATTTTATATGGACATGGGATGTATGGCCTAGCCATCACCATACCTCCAACCCATGCCTCCATCATGCTTGAGTGTAAGACCTTCATACACCATCACTCTCTTACAAAGCCATCCTTAGTCATCTTTATTTATGTCCAACATAAATAATATCTGATTTTCTTTAATCAGATTAAATCGATACAAATCAGATATGATAATTAAACATTTTAATTAGTGAAACTCCTTATTCAAATATGTTCAAAGCGTGTGACCCAATGGGTTCTCGACATGTTGGTAATAAATAAAAATCTCATATTTATAGTTATAAACGATAAGCGGTATCTACCAATATATCACCGTTACCCAAATGACGAGAATTGGTGATACAACAAATTATCGGTTTGTAGTCAATTTTAGTTTTACATATTTAATTCTTTTGTCCTTGATGTCCAGATTGAACACGAGACATTGAATGTGTCATTATCGTTATGTCCAATCTCTATTATCTAAGCATGAATGTATTTTTTTAGTATATATATTTATCAAGGGGCCCAGAGACATCACTCCCGTCATAAAKGARGGACAAATCYTATCTCGATACATGCTAATTCTATCATGTGATATGCAACATACCCAACTATCATTCTGTCACCCAGTTACGAAATGATTAAAATAAATGTCAAAATATATTACTCACACATAACAAACTCCATGTTCTCACGTCAAAGAATTACATGTACATTGACCATATATGAAACACTTATGACACTCACATGACATCCAATGAAGTGTTCTCATAACGAGTCACGTCCGATACACAAAGTCTCCATTTTGTACTCATATGCAGATTCGATATCTCTATATGAATCCCTACATATGCTAATCATTATCATATTACTTCAACCTTAAACCCGAAATAATATTTAACTAGGGACATTTAGAATACATTATTCTAAGGTTATTTATTATGAATAATTAAAACACATAATATAATATAGACATAATAAAATGGGCAATGTCTTTATATTTATTAATTTCTTGAAACAAAACTCAAAGTTACAATCATCATATGATTGGTTTTTGTGCATTCACTAACAGGATGTATGCAGACCTGTCTTCTATCCAAAGGGTAGAGTTATGAGAATATGTGAAACCCGATTAGATAACTCTCTAAAAGAGCCCTTAAGAAGAGAAGGGAGGTTTTAACATATACGGAAGAGAAATTGTCCTAGTCTAGTCGATGTAGACTCCAACATGCTCCCTCCAACCAGAGGCTAGATGGGCACAAATTGTCCCAGAGTATTGGGGCCTTACAATGGTAGACACCGGCTCTGATCCCCATGTGAGAATATGGGAAATCCTATTATAATACTTTCTAGAATCTTTGAGGAGAAAATGGAGGTTTTAACATATACAGAGAAGAAATGGTCCAACACTAGGCGATGCGGACTCCAACAAGACCAATGGTTTCCATGAAAACCCCGATAAAGAAGGACAAAACCATCTTAAGCATAAAACTCAGTGCTACCAATTTCTTTGGTAATAATGAGAGGGGACATAACTTTTAACTTAAAAGAGTCTTTCTGAAGAAGGAAAGATGTAGCTACTTCCATTGGTCTGAACCACTAAATAATCCAAGTACAAGTGTTGCACTTACAGCTAGCTCATCCATATCCACGATTAAAAACATAAGTTATTCATATTTAGCAGCAAGATTGTAGAATGTGGGTGCTATGAGTCGACAAGGGCTGCACCAAGATGCACCGAAATTGACCACAACCTGTTGGATAAATTTGAAAACATAAGAAACAGTTTTCATACATCATTCCTTTTCCAATAATCTTAGGGTGTGTTTGGTTGGGGGTATTTGAAGGTAACTAGAAGAGTACTCGCGCAATGCAGCGAGATACATCTCAATTTTGATGTTTCGTTTTATTTTGTCAACATCGATGTTATAATACGATTTTATGTGGTAATGAAAAAACGATAATGTTTTTATTTTTTGAATAAAGTATAAAATTTGAAGGTATCATAACATTTTGAAAAAAATGTATCAACTTTAATATTAAATTAAATATTTAAAAGTTCTTGTTTTTTTGTGATTTCCTTAATTCAATTTTTTATTATAATTTAACTTAGATTTAA